AGGGACATGGGGGCATGAGAGGGGACATGGGGGGCACTGGGGAGCACCCAGGGACACTGCCAGCACCATGAGGGGACACTGGGGACAGGGGAGGACAGGGGGTACATGGGAACACCTGGGGACATTGCACCCATGGGAACACACTGGGAGCACCGTGAGGGACACTGGCCACAGGGGGGATGGGGGGAAATCTGGGGACACTGCCAGCACCAAGAGGGGACAGCAGGGATGGGGGGGGACTTGGGAATACCTGGGGATGTAGGGTGTACCTGGGGACACTGCCAGCACCGAGAGGGGACAGCGGGGATAGGGGGAGGACAGGAGGGGACATGGGGGGCACTGGGGAAGACCTGGGGACAATGCCAGCACTGTGAGGGGCAGACATGGTGGGGGGGTCAAGGGGAACATCTGGGGACACTTGGGGACACAGAGTGGGGTCAGGTCACCTGAGGACATGGGGGGACACAAAGGGATGTGAAAAGATACGGGGAGAGGGATACCTGGGGACACTTGGAGACACCTGGGGACATGATGGGGGGGACAGCTGGGGACACGGGGGGACACATGGGGGCAAGGTGGGGACACACACTTGGGGAATACTTTGGGATACTTAGGGACCTGGGGACACCTGGGGACATTTGGAGACACCTGGGGACATGGAGAGGACACTTGGGGCAGAGGGGGACACACTTGGGGACACAGAGGTCACACACAATTGGAAATACTTGAAGATACCTGGAGACACTTGGAGACAACTGGGGACACCGGGCAGCACTTGGAGACATGTGGGGACAGGGGGGGACACCTGGGGACACGGTGGGGGAGCAACACAGAGGGGACACCTGGGGACATGGCAGGGGGTCCACGCCTAGGGACACACCTGAGGACACATAGGAACATTTGGAGACCCTTGGGGACATCCGGGGACAAAAAAGGACACCTGAAGACACAGGGGACACCTGGGGGCATGGCAGGGACACACACCTGGGGGATACTTGGGGACTTGAAGTTACCTGGGGACATGGGGGGTCACTTGGGGACACAGCAGAGGAGACACACATGGGGAACACTTGGGGATACCTGGGGACACTTGGAGACACCTGGGGAGATGGGGGGACACCTGGGGACATGAGGAGGGCACCTGGGGACACCTGGGGACACTAGGGGGGATGGATACACACGTGGGGAATATTTGGGGATATCTGGGACACTTGGAGACACCTGGGGAGATGGGGAGGGCACTTGGGGACACCTGGGGACACAGAAGGACACACACACTTGGAATACTTGGGGACTTGAAGCCACCTGAGGACATGGGAGGACACGAGGGGACACCTGGGGACACGGCGGGGGATACACACATGGGGAACACTTGGGGACACTTGGGAACATCTGGGGACACTTGGGAACACCTGGGGAGTTGAGGGAACACCTGGAGACACTGGGAGGGCACTTGGGACACCTGGGGACACAGGAGGGGGTACTTGAGGACACTTGGAGATATGGAGGGGACACCTGGGGACACAGGGCACACGTGTCCCCCAT